TGACATAGATGAACCGGACCTACACCTACCTTCCGGCAAGAGGAATCGCTTTGGTAACGCAGTTCGGCGGAGGCCCTCCTACATTTGCGGGTCGTTAGACAAACATAAATTCGTATGAACATCAACAAAATCAAACCCAAATAACAAACGAAAAATCCAACCCAAATTCTTATGAATATAAACATAGAAATTCGAACAAAAATTGAAATAAAACCACAAAAATCGAAAATAAACAAAAACAAAAAAAAATTCAAAAAAATCAACATACCTTTTCAAATAATTAATCCTCGTTGTGTTTATATGGTTAACTTCGACCATGAAAACTTCAGATCTGGAATTTTTATGGTCGAATTTGACTAAAAACTCTAAAATTCGTTCGTTGCTCAAAGTCTCATCCCTTCTACTTCTTGAAACATGTTCTCAAAGTGAAATATTTGAATAGATGTCATGGGTCAAAATCCGAACAAGAGAAAGAAAGAGTGAGGAAGAAAAAGATAGAAGAAGGCGACCCTAGCTGATGGAGCTCGGCATTAAGGAACAGAGGGAGGAATAAAGAGAAGAGAAAGAACGGAAAGAGAATAGAGATGAGGGGTGTGAGAAGAGAAAGAAGAGAGAGAGGAAAGAGCGGCATGAGAATGAAAGAAAATTAGGATTAGGCCGAGTGAGTTAAGCACCCTTTTATACCATATTTTTTTAAAAAAAAAAAATACCTTAATTGCGACCGCTTTGGACGGTCGCAATTTATGACTGTTTTGGACGGTCGCAATGAGGTTATATTTTTTAGAATTATTTTAGACATGTATTTTTAATAAAATAATTGTTCAAATACCTTTGCGATGGTTTAAAAAGCCAAAAACGATCGCAATTTTGCGAACGTATACAAAATGGCCGCAGATTTAAGCTTTTGCGACCGTTTTTATGACAGTCGTAAAAAAACGGTCGCAATTTCACTAAATTTTAGTAGTGATTATGAAACTAACGTAAAATAAATGTGTTGTGATTATTACAAAATAGAGGGGTATAACTTCATTAATAATAACAAAATCCAAACATTGCTAAAATTTGAAAATCTGTATTCTTAATCAGGATTTAGATGCTGATATATAATAAACTATCTTAATACTTCTAATAATTAAGTTGTCAATGAATTGACGATGATAAATAGCCGCAAAGACGACAATAAACGCAAAACGGTAAGGAAATAAACATTTTACAATGATGTGATAATCACCCGATCAGCTCAAGGCGATAAATAGTCATTTTCTGTAACATGAGTTATCAACCTTATAACAATTCTAATAAGCCAATACGAACCTTAATTAAATGAAACTCAACAGACTATATATGAATGAAAATCTCCAATAACAAAAATTGACATGACATGTATTCTAATATAGCTAAAACGACTTGAACTAAAATTGACCCGAATTCAAATTGGTCGACTCAAAACCAAAACTAAAGTAAATTTAACTGAGAATGAGCTAATAATCGAAGTAACTAGAGTCAAATTTTAACCGGAACTGAATTGTTTTGAACCGAGATTTAATAGAATTCGAAATGACCCAATCCAAAGTCAAATAAATCCATTTTGACCCAAATAAACCCAATAAAATCCGGATCCGATTTCTTCTTAACTCGATATAACTCGACCCAAATTTGACTTGACCCAAGTTCGATTTGTATCCGACCATGCTTGAATTCAACTTTAACCCGAATCTGATTAAGCTCAACTCGATTTGATTTGGTTTGTTAGATTTAAATGACCCATCATTACCCGACCCAAACATCCCGACCCGTTGTAGGTCAACCCAAACTCCATCTGGGTACTGGATTTGACACCTCTATACGGAGGAGTATGAACATAAATGTTTGTTTGAAAGTTAAGTTTAAGTTTATGTACTACGTTGTCTATGTAGATTAGACATGGTAAAGGGGTCATTTAGGTCGAATCATTCGGTTTGGGTTCGGGTTGAGTCAATTCAGGTTTCGGGTTAGACTCGGGTTAGGTACCGGGTCTAGTCAATTTCGGGTCGAGTCTATTCGGTTCAAGTATGTTTGGGTCATATTCGGGCTGTTCATTTCTAGATCAAGCTCGAATCGATAATTTTAATTTATATTTTGTTATTATTATATTAAGAACTATCAATTCAGTTTATGAGCTTAACTACGGTTGGAGATGAATAATTTGAGTCTTTTTTGGCACCAGACATTTTTAGTTCAGTTAAAAGGTAATTTTAGTTCAGGACATTTCGGGTATCGGGTCTGTTCGGGTCAAACACTTTGAGTCAACTTTAGGTCGGGTTAATTTCGGGTCGAGTCATTTCGGTATTGGGTACAATCGGTCAGGTCAGTTCAGGTGTAGGGTCAAGATCGGGTCAACTCCATTTTCAAATCGGATATGGGTTGGGTCGGGTCAATTTTAGATTTCGGGTTGATGTTTTTGGGTTGATTTTGGGTCACGAGTGGGGTTTTTGGGGTCGGGTTATTGGGTATGGGTCAGGATTATCAGGCCTAATGTAGATTATACATAAAAATTTCATTAGAAGGTAACATTATAAGTTAATATGCATGTTGAGAAAATAAATGTATCAAATTACGTTCGCTGGTTGTTAGATTTGTCTCTTACCTACTCTAATTAATTGATTGATCGATCAATATACTCGATTAATAAAAACTGTGATAAAATCTACTTAACTACCACCCCAAAACAAAAAAAGGTGACAACACCAATTAGAAAGGAAGAAAATGAAAGTATTCACATAATTGATGATCGAGGACAGGAAGTCAGGAACAATATACTACTTTTACACAAGTCTGAAATCTCTCTTCTTCAAAGTCGTTAATTTTAGTTTATAACAAGACTGAATTTTCCGCTTACGCTATCAATTTCAATTTTTTTCCCCCAAAGATAAGGATACAATATCCACTTACATATTTATAGCCCCAACTCGCATTCACAAGGTTGAACATTGTCTAGTTGCTAGATTAATTACAAGTTTATATGGATCAGAGTACGCTATATATATCGGTATTACTTATTCTATATAGTCTACGTCAATTTTTTAGTATAATTTTCAATGCAAATATTTTACGTAATTATGTTCACATATTGTTAATAATGAAAATGCTTAAGGCTTGACCTATGCATAATTATTGGTATTTCTTATGTAACATTGTAGCCTCACAATAAGTATATCATTTAATTGGTGTGGAATCGAAGCTTTTTTTGTTTTTGTGTGTACATATAAAGTACAACTAGTGTGTGATCCGGGCGTTGCCCCGCAATGTTACATTGAGGTTTTTTTTTTTTTTTTAAAGTGTTTAAATTTTTTAATATTAATAATCTGAAATATAATACTAAATATCGAAGAGAATATAAAGAGTAGTATCAGTCTTTTTTGTTTTTAGTTTGGATGTTTTTATTTTACATTTATGTGGATAAATAGAGCATAAATTATTTCTAGTTGAGATGGCAAGACATGTGGTATTCATTCTATGAGGTGAGGGGTTGAGACCTCTTTCGATGCGTTTTTTAGTTAACATTGCCGTAAATTATTGAATGGTGACGTGACATGATGCCAGTATTATTACTATATTGCTAAATTGAAGACCATTTCTTTTAAAATAAATAAACTTAACATCAGTAAGACCATGACAATTGTCTTCTTAATTTTAAGATACAAATTAGTCTTACCACGTCCAAAGCTCTTAAGGAATTTATGGTCTCGTACTTCCAAACTCCACCTCTGCTTTCTATTCATACAACCTTATGATTGAGTTATGAGAAAAAGAATATTAGACAAAAAGTACTCCACATACATTTTATGTTATAAAACCTTTGAATAAACAAATAAAAATTTGATAGTGGTAATTAACAAACTCTAAAAGTAGTACTGTACAAATTTGACATCGTTTTTTATTTTCAAATTTCTGTTTTTTTTAAAACAAAAAAACCAAAAACAAGAAATATGAAAAAGGTGTTTCACTTTTTTATTGTCATTTTTTCAAAATTATCATGATTTGAATAAATTTGACTAATTTTTTTATTCATTATATGACATATATTATATGATTTTGAAAAACAACAAACCAAAAAACATAAAACTACGGATATACCAAACGAACCCTATATATTGGTTTCAGTTTTCGTAAAGAATATAATCTATTTCGATTTGGCTTGATTTTATATATATACTTCGTTTGTGATTAAAAGTCCATGCATCCTCTTAGATAATAAGAAAAGCTTGAAATAGTTGTGTATCTTAATACAAATGAAACAGCCTTAAAATTCCAAAAGAAATAACTTATACTATATAAAGCTTTAAGTTAGACTAAACAACACTACTAAAAAAAAGCGTTCACTCCAAAATTTGCCTTCAATGGTATTCAAGACTTAGGACAAAACACAGGAAAGTGGTATTCAAGACTTAAGATTGAATCTCAATGGCTCTCTTTACTAGGGGTGTTCATAAATCGGCGCGGACCTAAAAAATGGACCGGACCGGTCCAGACCGAATTAATCGGTCCGGTCTTCGGGTCTAGATATTTATTTTTTTCGGTCTTCGGTCCGATCTGGTCCAAAACCCTATAAAAATCGGTTTGGGACCAGACTGATTTTTTTTGCTTAAAATTATGCGTGAAACCTTAAATAATGGTTAATTATCCATAATAAGCTTAGAAAACTTTAATTTTATAAGCTTTTTTGTACTAAACGTACAAAAAAAAGACGTTAAAATATAGTTTTTACTTTACTTTTTTCGACTTTTTCATAAATTTTTTAAAATTTTAGATTTTTTTTTTAAAAAAAATTCTTAAATCGGTCCAAAATGGTCCGGTCCGGGGTTTGGACCGATTCTTTCGGTCCGGTCCGGTCTTCGATTCTTAAAATTCTAATTTTCGGTATTCGGTCCGGTCCGGATCAATCTGGTCTTGGACTGATAGAACAGCCAGACTCTTTACACCAAAATTTGTAATATTGTGTTATTTGACTAGTAAATCTATTTTTGCATTTTTCGTCTTCTATAGTACGGTACTTTTTAAGTAATGTACGTCTAGCATGCATACGCTTCTATTGCGCCTTACTAGTTCACTTCCACGACGACTAGCTACAAGCCTTGCAAGCTAAGCTAGGTCAAGCTTCAATATTTATTATAATCAAATCAAATTAATTAGTTGTCTCCGTAAAAAATAAAAATAAAAATAAAAATAAAAAAATTCTCATTTGTAAATACAATTGTCATGACGTCCATGTACTGCCTACCAATTCCTGTCTTCCCTTATATAATGAGAAATATATATGTAAGGCTAAAAACTACACTTGTATTACATATACTCGTATTTTTTAATCCATCACTCTTTAGCTTAAAAAATTAACGCTAATCATATGAATTTTCTAAGTGCATTAGCCAGTAAATTCAGGCAAGCAATGAACCATTATTGTATAGTTTTGTTTAGTCTTGTATTATTGTATCTTCTCTACTTTTGTTTAGTCTTGTATCATTGTATTTTCCCACTTTTGTTATATTATTGAATTTAAAGATATATATTGCGATGCCTGCAGAGCAAAAACAACAATGGGTGACAAATCGAGTAAGAGCTCGAAAGATCGCAGAGAAGGAAATCATGGGCATATGCTTGAAAGTGTGACAACAAAGTACGTACCCTCAATTTATTTACATTTTACAATACTTGTAATAATTTTGATCTATATACATGATACAATACTTGTAGAAGAACTTACTCTCATTTGAGTTCTTGTTCTTATAGAGTTGTATGTGTTAAAGGATCAACTCACAATTAACCCTCCCCGGCCCAAACCCGGCACAACGCTAAATATTCCACAAAGAAGGCTGGGGTTGATTAGATTTGAATCCGTGACCTTATTGTTACGCAGACTCGTTATACCAAGTTAAAATTAAAGAATCAATTTAACCAAAAGTTCAAGCTAATGGTTATATACTCTATCAGTAGGCTATAGAACAAACACGATCAGACAAGCTAAAATCTAAGATCGAGTGCTTGAGAATTGAAAAAAATCTTTAACATATGAACAGCAGGAAATAGGCGCGCAACTCATCTTCATATAATTAGATGTACTATTAGTTGGGAGGATTTTGAAAATCATTCTTCTAGAAACTTTCTCATATTCATCTATGTTTATTTAGATTGTTGTTGAGGTATATATGAAGTTACGGTAATGGTCTTAGGTTGGATGTAGTTTTCGTAAGGCTGAAAAGGTTTTGATGGGATCATTTTAGTAGATTATTGCTACTTTGTACAATATTCTCAAGAAAATATCCAAATATATAGAACGATATATTCTGTCTTTCGAAGGAGATCGAGAAAACCAGCTTGTCTAATGAAAAGATAAAAAAAAAAAACCCTTAATTTTGAAAGAGACAAGTTCCTTTCAAACGGAGGAACCATTATTATAGCCTAAAAAGCGGAAAAAAAAAAAAACCCTAAGATTGTAGCTTTCCATCAACAATGGAGGCTAAGCTAGTGCTTAGAAGAGAGGAGAAAGGAGAGAGAGGTTAGGGTTGTTTTTGGTTGAATATCTTTCTCCCCTTTTCAAATTATTTATTTATTTTTTTTTCTATGAATTCCTATAAGTAGCATCAACTATTAACTAACAATAGACCTATTGATGGATCCTTTGATCTTTGGTCATCCTTGTGTTACATTTTATACTGAAACTAGCTACTTCCTCCGTCCCTAAATTAGAAGCCTATTTCTCTTTATTATGTGAGTAATAAATATTAGAAATAGGTTTCTAATAAAGGGACGAAGAGAGTTATTGTTTGACCATCATTTGGTACTTGCCGAAAAAAACACGGAAGAAAGCTTTATTATCATCCCATCTGGAAATTAAACAATTAAAATATTAAGAACAAGTACTACGTATTAATTTTGTAAACATGGAAAAAATCGTACTATACTATCTTCGAGTCCACAGTCTACGAAGACTATGATATGATAATAGAAAACATCTTCATCATATTCGTCATACGTGCACTATTTATTGACATGCATGGCTGGCTAATGTATTATAAATAATAACAAAGTCTAACACAAATAATTATTCTGGTAGTTACGGAATACTACATAGTTTTATACTTTTATATATACTTTAACATTTTCCCTCAAAATAAATAAATAAATATATATATATATATATATATATATATATATATATATATATATAGTTTTATACTTTTATTTCTGTGTGTTTGTATAATTTTTTTTTTTTTTTTTCTTAATATGTGTTATGTTTCTAATATAGAATTTTCACCATTATTATCTTTAATATACTATCAGTAGAAAGACAAAAAAGTTGATACTCATATAAAATCAGTAAAATTTTCATATATTTGAGATTAAATCCATTCATATTGAGTCTAATCTAAAATATGTATACATAACAATCTATATATGAATAGTGTAAATGTAATGCCAAGGTGTTGCATTTTACAGAAATAAAATTATATATGAATTATTAACATTAACGACATATACCAAGGGAAATCTGGAGTTAGTACATTGTCCAAGTGCATTATTTTCTTACAATAACAAAATAGCACTACCATGTGTCATGTGATATCCTAAAATCCTAAATTCATAGATCATGTCATTAGTCATGCTAAACAAAAACTTTTTGAATTGATGGTGCTTTTGTTTCATCAGGAGCAAATCTTCAAGTGAAAGTTCAGCAAAGGTATCCAAAATATATGGCATTAGTACTTTTAATCTTATAAAGTATCTTACTCTCTACAATTTAATTAATTTGGGGCATTCACATACGTGTGTTATTTGAAAATGTTATGCTCTTCAATAGATCGAACTATGTCTTAGATATATAACCCCTCTCTTTTTTTCACCATGTTTATTTGAATATAGTAATTAAAATACTAGTTCAAGTGAGTTATGATATCATGTGTATATACCGATGAGATCTTGACCTAATAATTGTTAAGATTGAGAGTGTAAGATAGGTTACAGGTTCAATTCACCCCTAGGCCATTTAATTTGTAATTTGTATTTCGGCTGCCCTTGTATTTCTTTTGGGAAAAAAAATTGTACTCCCTTCGTCCTATTATTAAGTGCCCACTTTTCATGTTTCGCGGGTTTTAATGCAAATGAGAGAAGTAAAAAAAAGCATGTGTGAAATACATTGAGAGCTATTATAAAAAGTACAATATTTTGTTTTCTAGTAGAGAGCGGAGACAATAATGACGATGATTTACAAAAGTGTGGTTAAATTACTTTAAAACTTATTTACACTTTTGCATCGGAATGAAACTTAATTACGAAACTAATGTCCATGTAGGCTCGGATAAGTTTATTTTTGTTTTTTTTTTTTATTTTTCAGAATAAAACCGCTACCTCAAGTAGTGGTTTATGTACTAAAACCGCTACCTGAGGTAGCGGATTTACCCTTTATAAATTTCTACTCCGTATCTTTACTTGGAGTACTAAAGACAAACCGCTACCTTAAGTAGTGGTTTTAGACTATAACCGCTACTTAAGGTAGCAGTTTGTCTCTAAAGATAAAATTACTCCAAATGTATTACCGAGCCTACGTGTACTATTTTTGTAAATAAGTTTCATTCCGACGCAAGACCATAAATAAGTTTTTTAAAAGCTATATTTTTGTAAATCATCCCAATAATGAAAAAGCATGAGTGAAGTATATGTGGGCACCAATTTTAAAGGGTACGATATTTAGGGACGTTTAGTATGTTAAAAGGTATAAAGTTGGGGTATGTAGGTAATTATACATGAAACAAATATAGAAATACGAGTAGACACTTATTTTTGGGACACCTAATTAGAAAAAACAGGCACTTAATAATGGGGAGGGAGTATTAATTAGGTGGTCATCATCCCTTAAATAATTTGTAGTTACTGTGATTATATGTTGTCTACACTCTGCAGTCAGAAACATCTACGGCAAGCAATCATGGAACAACTCGAACAAGTGTGCGTGTTACTGAAAATTTCACGCATCCGCAGAGCACAAGGTGAGTAAGTAACATCCTCGAACTGGGATGCCCCTCGAACTGAATCCTTAGTTACTCCCTTTTGTTGTCAAAAAAGTAACAAGAAATTTACTATAATAAATGCTCTAGCCCTAATATAATTTGACTAGCACCTTTATCAACGCAAGAATTTGATCACTACCGGCCTCTTTAATTATTAATAAATATAAAATGCATACATAAATAAGAATTGGTATTATTAAGAAACTATACATTGAAACGATTTTAACAAGTTTTATGTTATATCTAATCTAAAGTATAAAGCACTAACAAAGGTCAAGGTAATGTGTGTAAATAGTGTACGTAATTGTCAAAGTAAGTTATTTATTTTGAAATAAAGAGAATACTTATTAATCATGTTTGGATTTCTTATAAATTTCTATTCGAATGAAACCTATCGCTCTCGATCAATATATGAGGAAATTAAAAATGAACACATGTGAGATCGTAATTGTTTAATTGATATGTCTCAATGTGCTCTTACATAGTCTAATCATAGTTTAAATCACCAAACATATGCAATACTCCGTTTAAATTGAAATTTTTTTAAAAAGATTTGTATATTTGTTTAATTTTTCAAAATAAAGATAGAGTAATGAAGAGCTGAGATTGAAATTCATAATGGATGGTTAATATGAGTAAAAACAAGGTTACAATAGGCTAGCCATAGTCGTCTTTTAAAAAATCAATGTAGAATCTTCGTATAAAATACACCACCTTTTTTTAGTCATTACTATGTCATCATTTTGCTTCCATTTTTTTTTCCTACCCATAGCTCCGGAGGACCATCAAGAAAGCCATCCTCTGACGGCAACGGAAAACGCCCTGTGCGCCGAATTGAAGATTTGACAAATGGGTAACCTTTTGCTTTAAGCTTAATTTCATTAAAATTATGTATGTCCATTCCTAGTTAATTATATGTACGAATTGAATTGAAGAATTACAAAATTTGTCTTCCAATGTGTCTCAACTTAATTATTTTGATGCTTTTGTTTATTTATTTACGCAGGAAGCAGGCTGATACAGGTTCGACTAAAAAGAAGGTACTTTGATTGTATTATTGTTCACACACTAGATTTAGTTTTGTATAGTACTAAAAAGAAGGTACTTTGATTGTATTATTATCTCAAGATTGTAGTCTAACTTACCAAAAGAAATGTTTCGGGTGAAAACAATAGGACCTTCGGCAAGGTCCTTTTTTGTGGGCTGAAAACTAATGTCGGTCCAAGTGATGACTGGGTCGAGGGTTTCCTGCACAGCAAACACACGTAAACTGGCCTCAGGGGTTGTGCCGAGGAAGGCCCCTCCAATGTCGAAGTCAATACAGTGTTTAGAGAGAGAAAGCTATGCAAGAGTATTAATTGCTTGAGGCTTGAATTGAATGAATGTAAAGAGAGAGGATTGAAGACTTTAATACCTTTGCTCAATGGATAAATGGACCTTAAACTAAGTGGGCTTGCCACCTTGACTGGGCCCTGACTGACTTGGCAATTATTTGGAGAGTTGAACCTTGCTTTGGGCTTTACAATTAAACCATTTATGGACCGGCCCAATTGAAGTAAATTGGACCCAAACAACTTGCCCCCAAACTCGATTTGGAAGCATGACGGCCCGGGTTTTGACTTGCAAAATGGAGGGAAGTAAATGATTTAATTAGAGTTTGAATTTGGGTAGTTATTGAGGCAATAACAGTTATTTAGAGAGTAATTAGGGAAGTTGGAAGGTTTAGTGGGTAGTTAATTAGGGAAGTGTTAACGGTTGCATTGAAGTGGAGTTAGTGGGGATTTTAGTGGCGCAGACTCCCAGAATTCTGCTTCTGGAAAATCTTTTCAAACCACTCATCCCACTCTCTCTCCTCATTTCTTTGCTAGTTCACTTCCGTTCTTCGCTAATCACCACTGCTAAACCGCTTTCCTTTTTCCGAATATTCTTAGCAATCCTGAACCTGAAACTGAAGTTTGTTGCTCCAAACTCGTAGATCGGTTTCTGATAAAGGTAATTTTAATTTCCTTCGAAATTTCTTCGGATTTCTTTGATTTTTAGAGCACCCCCCCTCCCCCCTTTTTTCCCGATTTCTCGAATTTCCACTTACGAGAATGGCTCGAGACCGAGGAAAGAGACCTATGGTAGTCGATAAGGAAGAGGAAGTTCCTCAACTGATTCCGCGGCGCAACCGTTTGCCGGAGATGATGCCGCCTTTGAGCGGCCGCAACCCTCGTCCTAGGGTTGGGATAGCAGCTTCTTCCAGCGGAGCCGCAATTCCTGCGGTGTCACTGTCATCCGCGCCTCCTCGAGATTTGGGGGAGGCTAGTACCTCCGGCCAAATCAAGAGCTGGGCGTCCGGACCTTGGGATTTTCCCCCTGGAGAAAGGGAGTAGGGAAACGTCCCCGAGAACTTTGAGCTGATGACCACCCCTCCTTATGACTGGTGGGTGAACGAGAGTCCCCTCTAACATTTTGCCGAGCAAATTGAAATTTTTTACGGCATAATGGAGGAAGATGGGTATTGGTGCCGAATGCATACAGCTCTAGATAGGATTCGCCGCCCTCCCCCTGGGTACATCGGGGTGTATACTCGGCAGCTGCAGTTTGGACTTCGGTTCCCTCCGTACTCCTTTGTGGTTGAAGTGCTGAACGGGTACAATATCTCGTTGTGCCAATTAACCCCTGCCAGCATCCGAAGGGTGATGATGTTCCTCCGGGTGTACCTCTTCTGTGGTTTTGCGCTGGGCCTCCATATTTTTCGGAAACTCCACAAGCTGGTGCCAAACCAACAATCAGACGAACATCATGGCACTAGTTGGTGGCGAATTGAGACCCATATGGGGCATCTTACTACCTGGCTAAATGATACTTCAGACAAGGATTGGTGGGGCCAATGGATTTAGGTTCGAGTGCTTTCGAAAGAGGACCATCCGAACTATTTTGGAGGGCCGAGGTACTTGAGCGAGCCTGATCCCCAGATGAGGAGCATCGGACCTAACGAGTTTGATGATCAAGAGAAGGAGTTGCTAACTCTCTTTAGCAAGAAGAAGAATCCAAGGGGCACGGGCCGAATGGTCCAAGTGCCCACAACTTGGCTGCCGTCCTACCACTACATCTTTAGGAGAAGATGCTTGCCGTTGTTGGCCTCAGCCGAAAATACCAAGGGAGTAAGGAGTTCGGCTGGGGCCGAAGGCCTTTGCTTTTCTTTTTTTTTCTTTCACTGCTTGTTTTCTTCGTGTTGACTAAGCCTTGAATTTCGGCTTTTCAGTGCTGCACAAGGGAAATTGTGGTATTAACTACAATCAGCTCGGGATCAACGCCGCAAGGCGGGTGACGAAGAATGCCCCCGACATAACTGAGTCATTAGACCGGCCCCTTTCTTTGTGCAAGACTAAGCTTCAGATAGTCAGCGCTGCTGAATACGAGGCGTCGAAGGTCTGGTGGAAGAATCGTGACCCCTTTCTTCCTTCTGAGCCCCGCAGAACAGGTTGTTGTTGTTGCTATTGTTATGAGGGCGGCAAGGGCTACCGAGGCCTCTAGAAGTGGTGTTGGACCATCTACCCCTACTACTGATCCTCAAGTAGAAGAGGAGAAAGCTGAAGAAGAAGACGGGGCTTCTGAAGACGAGCGCCTGCTGAAGACTTCGGTCACTACTAGAAATAGGCTGATTTCCGACGAACTGTTTCCGACGGACACTAAATTCCGTAGAAATCTCAGAAGTTCCGATGGATTTTTATTCCGTCGGAAATTTCCGACGGAATTAAAATCCGTTGGAATATAAGGGTTTCCGACGGAATGTTCCGTCAGAAAGTTACTTTTCCGGCGGAATTACAATCCGTCGGAAGTTTTCAACGGAATATTCCCTCGGAAAATTACGTTTCCGGCGGAATATTCCGTCGGAATAATTATATTTCAGACAGAATATTCCGTCGGAATAAAAGTAATTATTTATACAAAAAAAAACCCTAAGACTAACCGGTTTCCCCTTAATTACTTCCCCTCTTTCTCCGCCTCTTTCCCATCTCTTTCTCTCTCTTCTTCTCTTCTCCTTCCCCTATGCGCATCTCTGAATCTCTTCTCCTTCTCTCTCCTCTCCTTCTTTCCTCTTTCTCGCCTCCTTCTCTGACTTCTCACCCTCCTTCTCACACCAACGTTGAAGAGTGATTTCTTTCCCCTCCTTCTCGCCGCAACCAACACCACCGTACCAACACTATGCGCAACGTCTTGGTGGTTTTTTAGGCCAAATTCGACCATTAAAATCCTAGATCTAGACTTTTAATGGCCGAATTTGGCCTTGTTAAACCGTTCTCGTGGTGAAATTCGAGCCCATTTCAATTAATAAGGTATGTTTTGTTTTTTGATTTTTCAATTTTCGATTTTTTTTTCTTTGTTTTTATTTTTATTTTTTGGGTGTAAAGTGGTTGTGTGTGCGTGTGTGGTGTGTGGGTTGGTGGTGGGTGGCAATTTTTGGAGGTGGTGGGTTTTTTTGGTGGTTTCGTAGGTTTGATGGCGTGGGTTTTGGTGGTAGATCTGGGTGGTTTCGGGTTTTTTTGGGTGGTTTCGGGTTTTTTAGGGTAGTTGTGGGGTGGTGTGGGTTGGTGGTACGGGTTATGGGGACTGGTGGGTTAAGGTGGGTGGTGTGGGTTGGTGGTACGGTTTAGGGGCAGGAGGGTAGGGGGGCAGTGGTGGTGTGGAGAGTCAGAGGGGGTGGGGGTGGGTTGGTGGTGGTGTGGGTGGGTAGGGGGGTAGTCAGGGGGGCAGGGGGTGGGGTGGGCTAGTGGTGTTGTGGGTGGGTAGGGGGTAGTCAAGGGGGTAGGGGGGAAGGAAGTAGGGTGGGCTGGTGGTGGTGTGGGTGGGAAGGGGGGTGGCGCTGGGTGTGCGAATAGGTGGGGGTGGTCTGGGCAGGGTGGGGTGGAGGGCTGGTTTTTTTTTTTTTTTAATGACTTTTCCGTCGGAAACCAATCCACCTCCGACTTTTCCGTCGGAAACCAATCCACCTCCGACGGAAATTTCCGTCGGAAGATTGCGACGGACTTTCAATTAAAGTCAAAAATAGCACCGACGGAAAAGGTCGAATTTCCGACAAAGGGTGCTGCGACAGACTTATTCCGTCGGAAGAGGTGATTCCGACGGATTTTGCTATGTTTCCGACGGAAAAATTCCGTCGGAATCCATCTCTTTTCTTGTAGTGGGTGAGACTTCCAGACTTGTCTTAATGAGCCTCTTTTTTTTTTTGAACTTGGTGCTCATACTGCACTTTGCCGCCCTATTTCTTCTGCTGCAGTCTGATGAAGAAGGAAATAGAGGAGAGCCAGATGAAGAAGAATCCTCTTCAGACGAGTCCTCAGACTACAAGATGTCTGGCCCGAAGAGAAGAAGGGTCGTTTTTAACCCCGGACAATTTCAACCTGCCCTTGTTCTAACCAAGAAACCTCGGCTTGAGAAGGACAAGTCAGAGGAAAGGAAAGAGAAGACTCCTCCCCCTCCTGAGGTTCGCGCTGAGGGAGATATCCTGACAAAGACTCCTCCTCCTAAGACTCAGGAGGTTGAAATTTCCAGTTTAGCTCCTCCCTCCTCTCCTCGGCACGAGATCGAACCTTTTACTGATGAGGTTCAAAGGGAAGCTGATGCACAACTCGTCCACCCTGAGGACGTAGGAGTGCCAATTTTGAGTGAAGACCCCCAGGGTCTTGGTGCTGATGGTCCGAAGGAGGCCGACGTGGAAGAGAAAGCTGAGGAGGCCAAGAACACTAATATGCCTTCACCTTCGTCTACTGAATCCTTCAAGACTTTTCAGTCTACGGAGATGGGGTTCGGTTCTGCCCCCTTTGGTATCAAAAAGTCCTATATTTGATTTCCGTATCCGATCCAAAAATGTTCGGATATCCGATATCCGGATTTCCGAAAATTTCGGATTGGATAGCTCGGATATCCGATATCCGACCCTATTGTATATTTTTTTAATAATTTTATATAAATACTAATTTAATGGCAAAAAAAAAATAGAGGCAAATTTATACGAAGTATATACGTTGAATTGTACTTGAACAAGCATTTT